CAGACGATAAGATCCTGGGTTTTCTATTTCAATTTATGGATGCTGGTTCGCTCGCAACACTGGCGATGGACTTTCGGGGAAATAATTCAAGAATAATAGGCCCATTAATTTCATCTGTCATCGGTAAACATCATCTTCGAAAACTACGATTAACAAATTTCAATTACAGTGCGGATATAATAGCATGGTCATGTGGCTATAGATTGCGGTGGTTGGAAATTGGTGACTGTACAATCAGTGATTATATAACTGAGCATATCCACCTGAAACATACCACTTTTTACACGAAGTTCGGCGCCAGCGGTGGGACCTAGGGTATCTTCTAGAAAATTTTTTTCTGATTAAAACTTACAGACTGAAAAATCGAGGACTGATGTACGACTTGAGATAAAGACAAAATACTTTTACGTTGATAGTGGTGTCATCTATCATATTTTCCTGATAAAATGACTTTTTTGATGCTGCCTTAAATGAACTATTCCTTCTTAGGTTCTATCTATATCAGCATCAACCTAAAGCTAATAGCTAACCGCTTCATTTGTGACAAGATCAGCTTTGCTATACGTGCCTGTGTTGGAAAATCAATTTCGAACGAAGGCTATTTTTCTCTTATTTATTTGATTTTTTAGTAAACATGGGCAGTAATATTTTTGAAATAATGCGTATAGAAATAGTTTTTTGGGAGTGAATAGATAGGTTTAAAAGAGAAAAAGTATTCATATCTTCTATGTGATATAGCAAAATGACATATTAAAGTTCATGTGATATCTTCACTATGTTTATTGTTCTAACATCTGCATTAATGAAATAGACAACTTAAAATATGCCCTTTTGCAATAGCACACAAGCATCTGATTAATTTTCCTCTTTTAAAACTATCTTTTCGTTGAGAAAAACATTTTTTATACACCTTACTTCAGTGATATTACTCTCCATGATTTAAAAAAATCAATTAAATAAGAGAAAAATAGCCTTCGTTCGAAATTGATTTTCTCAACACAGGCACGTATAGCAAAGCTGATCTTGTCACAAATGAAGCGGTTAGCTATTAGCTTTAGGTTGATGCTGATATAGATATAACCTAAGCAGGAATAGTTCATTTAAGGCAGCATCAAAAAGTCATTTTATCAGGAAAATATGATAGATGGCACCACTATCAACTTACAAGTATTTTGTCTTTATCTCAAGTCGTACATCAGTCCTCGATTTTTCAGTCTGTACGTTTTAATCAGAAAAAAATTCTCTGGAAGATACACTAGGTCCCACCGCTGGCGCCGAACTTCGATGTAAATGTGGTATGTTTCCGATGGATATGTTCAGATACAAAAGATAAGCTAACTCTTTAAAAAATGCTGAATCTCTTGTTTAATATTTGTCTTTTTGAATGATTTCTAGGCTAAATATAATTACATCTTAGTTTTAGCATAGAATTAAACAAGAAAAGATGGTTTATTTAACAAGCGATGTCGCATTTCTCGATTTTCAGAATATGTGACATATCACTGTACTGGATATTACAATGCTTATCAGGTTTGAATCATGTATTCCAAAAATATATCAAATTTTAGTCAAAGATTTCATCAGATTTATAAAAATTCATATTGTTATGCTTGTTGGATAATATTTGATAAATATCAGCTCCGCCCGAACTGTGGTGGTCTAAAATACGAATTGAGGAAACGATCAGAATTTTGCATAGAATAACGTTTAGTTCAAACATATAAATAAAAAAGATTAGATTATTTTGGATTTGGATGAAATCATTGAGAATAAATACCCATTTATCATTGTTTTATAACAAAGTTTCTATGAACCTTAATATTTCTAAATTTGATAATCTATCATGGATTGGTCTAATGTGAATAATCTTTTAAATTGATTAGCACGATGAATTATAGATGAGATTTATTGTCAATAGTTCTTTTTTTATCAGAATGAACTTTTATAAAAATTGATTTCGATTATATTCTTCTGCAATTAAAAGTAAATTAGTTTAGATTTAAGTCTCATATTACAAATTGTGCTGCATAGAAGACAACAAATATATTAGTGAGAATTCGATAAATTTACAAATCAAATATTTGAAGATTTCAAATTCAAATTTAGAAATTTTCACAAAATATCATTTGATAATTTTCTAAATGAATTTCATAGAATAAACAATGTTAAATGTAGAAATAGAATTTATTGATTTTCGTTTTCTCGAACTTTTCAATTAATTATCATTAAACATTATTTTACGTGAAATAATGAAATTGTTTTCAACTAAAATTATTCACTTCCACCTCAGAATAATTTTATTTCTAAGTGTGCTTTGTTGCATGAACGTATTTAATATTTATCTTTCTTCGACCATTCGATCAAATATCATTGAATTTGATATTGATAAAGTCTTGTAACACACATTTGAATGTCGTTTATTCTTCACTCTTTCTATTTCTCGAATAATTCTTGATCAATATAGTGAAATATTGTTTAAGATTGATCCAATTTCTCTTGATGATTCTACTAACGATATTATCATTCTTTTTCTAGTAGAATAAAACAAACTAATTTATTACAATGGACGAGAAAAAGAAACTGGACAAATTATTGAACTATTATGAAAACTTTCCTATCAAGTCAAAAGTAAAATAGTATTTTGGATCGATTTGAGATCTTTTCGAATTCGAGATGTCGCAAATTTTGCGCACAAAATTGAACGTGACTTCAAATTCACGTTCGCATCAAGGGTGTGAGTGTGTAAAGATAGGACCTAAACTTATTCACACTAGCACTCATCCTGTGAGAGAAAACTGAAAGATGACTGCTTCGCTACAATTATTATCTTTATAACCTTACTTCATCATGCACTTTTGTTTTCTATTAGTTTTTGATCTTTTCATTTTTACCTTTCTCCCTGCTTCACTTTTTATCTTTCATAATTTGTTTGCCATGTGCACCGTGCGACGAAAGATTGTCTGTTGCTTCTATTCTTTCACTCGCAAATAACTGTGCAACAAAAACAAAGGTTGCGATCATCGGAGGCAACTAAAATGCCGAGAATTTCATCCTTAGTGAGTGCCGGTTTCTCCTAAGCACGGTTCCATTATTACTTTCTTTTGATTTTCTATTATCTTGCTGAGTCATGAAGATATACTCAACCCTACAACACTACAACTCATCGAATTATATGTCAGCTGTGCAGAATTTACAGAGACATATTTGAGGTAAACCTGAATTTGGTAGAAAGTTAATATGTCGTAACATATTGAATGAGTATGAGAATGGGATAGAGGTGGTTGTTGTTTTAGTATTATAATAAAGACATTTTATTTGAGTATTAGATTAATAACAATTATAATGTGGAACAAAGTTTTTAGCAGTAATAAAAGCAATGTAATAAATGAAATAGCAAGGGTAACTGAGAAACAATATCGTTACGGTGTTCAACTTCCTTGACTTCAAATAGTGCAAGACTTTGTGTTACTTTCGACGTTATTTCAGTGAATCATGTATTTGCCTGAGTTTCCCTCAGTGAAGCGGAAGTTTTCATCAATAATTGACTGAATAAACGTCACTGTGACAAAGGATAAATATAAAAGTACTGAAGAGAGTTTGTAGGATGCTCGCAAATAGATTTAACAGTATTGATATATAGCGAAAGTAAGACACTAGCGATTAAAAGTACAACAAGAATTTTTTTCCAAATTGTTTTACCGTTGTTTAATAGCGTTCGTCGACTTGTTTAATAAAATCTCAATTTTCGATTTTATACTCGCATTATTAATATGAAAAATTGCAAAACATTGCCCTCCAAAAGCATGATTCAGAATTCATTACTTCTCGAAACATAGACCAGATTCTCTTATTTCTCATTGTCCGATATAAAATCAAGTATGGAAATCAAAGTTTCATAGCAGTTACATGGAACACAACCAGACAAGCTTTGGAGAAGGACAACGGCTGTTGTAATGTCTTGACGATCTATTCCAAATAGATTAAGTCTCGATAGGAAATAAATAAATGAATTTCTTCTATTTGATCATAATGACCATATCTATGAGAGAAAAAAATGCATCGGTTTTTCGTTATCTCGTACCTGTGTTGAGAAATTAAATTTTTTGAACGTCGCCCTTAGATATATAAGATTTTCATCGATACTGCGCCTGTGGGAACAGGAACCGAAGCGAATAAGAAAACTTTTTATTCGTGTTCAATTCGACTCACACCGTTACATAAAAATGACACGATTACTCTCAATTGGGAAAGAGGAATACAGTTGATGTTGATCTCAATAAAGGGTTGACTTTTTCGGATCATCAAATATTGAGGATTGTGTTAAACAGAGGCGTCTCAAAATACTTGTCCATGTACTCATTCAACAGGCTTAACAAAGTTGTGGAGGATCGTGAGATCGATATATTGCTATAACTTATATGACAATCATATGAGTTTCAATGAACAAGACGATTAACTGGAGTTTCACTCGAAACTACCTTGATATCATGTCTTTTCTTATTCTCGTGTATCTCAGATTTTATAGTATTCTGAAAAGCTGCTCAATATTCGCTTTTCAGTGTCTCATAGATTCAGAAATGAAGGTTGTATTTTTTCATTTTATTGTATAGTGAACGATACCAATGTCAGCCAAAACATTAAATTTTGTTTATGAAGTTGTGCAAAGCTTAAAATCAATACAGCGAGGTTTTCTTATTTGCACAAAATCTCACAAACTTCAGCTGGTCAAAAATGTAAAACGTTCATTGAGATAGATCAAAGTTTCTTGCATCACTCTCAGTTCCAGTACAACACTCGTCATTAACAGCTAGCATTTTAAAATTATTCACCTTTGTTTTACTTGCGTTTTATTATAAAACTCATAATAGTTATTCTTGAGACTTCTCTATGTCACTAACCATTAGGAATATATTTGGGTTTTCATTCTAGATTCAAAGATCTGTCCGTCGGTCACCATACAAGGATTAAACAAGCTCCTTGTTTGTACAAATACTGTCATTATGACAACAGCGGTTAACAAAAAAGACGCTGTCTCTAGCCAGGCAGACGCTCAACTTGCTGCCATGGGCTATAAAGCTGAATTGCCGCGTTCGTTGTCCTTCTTTTCTGTACTTGGTCTTTCCTTTGCAATTATTGCTGTTCCTTTCGGTGAATCAGTGACTCTTTCCATTGGTCTTACAAATGGCGGCCCAGTAACCATCCTGTACGGCTGGATATTCGTTACTATTATTTCTATATTTATTGCTGCAAGTCTAGCAGAAATTTGTTCAGCGTATCCAACCTCTGGAGGTGTCTATTACTGGTCCGCAATATTAGCAAACAAGCAATGGGCATCTATTACTTCTTGGACAACTGGATGGCTAGGCATCGTTGGAAATTGGACAGTGTCCACGTCTATCTGCTTTTCCGGTGGACAATTAATATCATCTGCTATTGGACTTTGGAATGAAACCTATGTTCCAGCCGCTTGGCATGTCGTACTGATGTACTGGGCCGTCCTATTTGTAGTGTTGTTAACAAACATATTCGCCTCCAAACATTTGCATTTCATTAATACCGTCTGTGTTTATTGGACGGCTGCATCCGTTTTGATTATACTCGTCTCCGTGTTGACTATGGCAAAGGGAGGCCGACGTAGTGCGGCATATGTTTTTACTGAGTTTGATGCGACGAGAGCGGGTTGGTTCCCAGGATGGGCGTTTTTTGTCGGATTACTTCAATCTGCTTACACCCTCACTGGTTATGGCATGGTGGCGGCCATGTGCGAAGAAGTTGAAAATCCAGAGCGAGAAGTACCCAAAGCGATGGTACTTTCTGTCGTCGCTGCTGGAATTACAGGTGTCGTTTACCTTATCCCAATTCTTTTTGTTATGCCCGATGTCGATAAACTACTTGCTGTACCATCCAATCAACCAATTGGTTATCTCTTCATGGTAGCCACAGGTTCAGCTGGTGGTGGGTTTGGCCTTTTGTTGCTTATTCTCGGTATTCAATTTTTTGCTGGAGTAGGCTCCTTGACAGTGACTTCTCGATGTCTTTACGCTTTTAGTCGTGATGGTGCTGTACCAGGTTCGAGAATCTGGGCAAAAATTAATAAACGATACGATATTCCACTTCATGCTTTATTGTTTTCGACTCTAATCCAAGGTCTACTTGGTCTCATTTATCTCGGTTCATCAGCTGCATTCAATGCGTTTACCGGTGTGGCCACAATATGTCTTTCGGCTTCTTACGCATCACCAATTGCCATACTTCTCCTTCGTGGACGTCATTTAGTCGCCAGCGCTCCTTTTCACCTTGGTAAATTTGGCTACGTCATCAACATCAGCACGATCGTCTGGATTCCCTTGGCTGTCATCTTATTTACAATGCCAACAACGATACCCGTCACATTTTCGAGTATGAATTATGCCAGTGTATTGTTTGTTTTCTTTGCTGGAGTTAGCGTCTTATGGTATGTTATTAGTGGAAGGAAATATTTCACTGGCCCACACGTGCCTTCGCTCGAAGAATTCCACAAAAAAGTCGTACCAGATAACCTTACTGTTGTGAGTGAGATGACGGATTATTGCTGATAATGGTAGTACATTCTATTTCATTTAAAAGTTTATGGTTTACCAACTAGCTGAAACTGAGACTCAAGAGATTACCCATATCTGCTAGTCGCAAATATGGCTTTTGTATCATCGATTAAGGCGAACTAACTTCTAGTATAGATAACATATTTAATGAAAAATCAATAAATATTAATGCAGACCTTATTTTATTTGACATCGATGTTTCAAAGAATAAATCTTCATTATCAAGATACAGAATATGAGATTATTACACGATTGCAATTTTAACATACAACAAATAAGAAACAAAGAGAATAAAATCTCTAAGTCTACCTTCAGGGGTACTTGAAATTGTCACTGTGTTGCTTGATTTTGACTGTTGGTTTCTTCATTGGTAAACCGTTTGAGAACACTAAAAATGAAATTTAATTGACTGTACGATTTAATATTGCTTGAAGGATAGATATTCACGTATTAACAGATGATAATATGTTGAATCCTTGTCGAGAATTTTGGTTCTGTCCCAATTGATATAATGTTAATGTTCAATTGTACGTTTTAATAAAGCTGATTAAATAAATTTGTGAACCTCATATATATTTTCGAAGAAAGTAATAGTGAGCGCAAGTTTAAACCGAGGTTTTACGACTCTCCTTCCCTCTCCTCTGAATTGGATGGATCTAGAAAAATGTTAACTGATGGAATTTGAATTGTCGGTAAAACTCAACGGTGTATGTCGAAATTCATTCATAGAAAGGATAGTGTACGAGATAGATTACCAGGGGATAAAATCTATGTGTATAGCACGCTGATATAGTAGTAATACAAATACGTTTTTACAATATAGCAATGCTGAATGAATCAAATAAATTTGTAGTAAAGTAATTATACATGAAAACATTTTCGAAATGATAAAATTTCAGAGCGCACGTACTGCCTATAAAAATTGTTTTTATTCCGACTTATTCGTTGATTTGACGTTTCTTTTAAATGTATTAGTTTAAAAGCTCTGATAATTTACAATAAACTTATTACAGTCAGAGATTGTAAGTTCTACACTTTGGCCTCGCAAGGGACGGCACTGAGAAGTTTTTTCGGATGCTTCACAAATTCGATGAGTTTACAATAATTGTCATATGTAGTATCAGACAAAAAGCTGTCCCAATTTCTCCTCTTTCGATTGCTCAAACCTACAGATCACTAGCTTTTCCCGTTGCTGAATTATTGAGTTTACACTCACCCGTCTTTATTCTGACGCAGACATTAGATGAGCGTTTTTTCTTGTACACTAAAAGTTACACCTGTACAAAGAAACATCGTTCTTTGGTCACATTCATCCGATGGCACTACGAAAATTTGAAATCAGGAATTATTTGATTGATTCTTTAAACTTAGACGAAAGACCATTATTAATCTCATTGCGGTGAATTATTCCGGTTTGTAGTTGTTGCGAACTGATTCCAATTTGAAGAATAACAATTATTTACATCGAATGGTCAAACTCTAGAGAAATACTGAGGAAATAGTTTTTCAATGCGAAACTTCGGAATGTCACAAACTCGTTAGACATTGACCAATACATTCGTCATTTACATCTATCTACGATACCAAAAGTGCTCTTTTGGGTGCTGAAATTGGTCGATCAATGCTTTTTGCTGTTGCTGAGATATGAAAAACATCTGAGAGCAATATATTTTGGATAGCATGGTCAGAATCATGCCACTTCTAAAGGCAGGACTTGTGGAATGTTTCAACGTGTTCAGACACTCTTAGAGATACATGCCGGTACATTCTGCATATTGCAATTATAATTGTTCTAGACAACAATGGAAAGATTTATTTTGTGTATCAACCAAACAACCTATTTTAATCTTTTTAATTATGAAGCATATTCGACTATGATGAACATTCAAAAGATTTAGGGGTGTGGGTGTGGATGTTCGTACGTCTTCGTGTCATACCCGCACACCCACATGCGCTTAACCTTCAACGAGAGAGTAACTTGTACGAAAAACATTAATCAAGATAATACACATCTAAGCTTTCAATGTGGATATGCACCTTTGACACCGCTCAGAGTTTTAACAAGAAGTCATACTGTAATCAGTAAGTGATATTGTTTATGAAATTCCAGCAAATTCATATCATATCTGTGTTCATCTAGACATTCTTCTCAAACGAATAGATCAACTGGAGACATTGTCAATAAAATCGAAAATCATCCAATAGCCGACGTAAGTTTACTCATTTTACTTTGCAAAGAACCGTCAAAATGCAAAACATTCAAGTCATTCTATTACGCACTTTCAATTCTGTCATTTTCATCAAAAACTAACACTATTCATGATAGATCGAAAAAATATATTTGCCACTTGCTTTGTTGCGTTTCAATTACATGTGTACTGAGCGAACGTGTTCAAGTTAATGGCAAATCGATGACATATACCTATAACTTCTGAGATACTTCTGGATTTGAATCATGGAACGAAGTTGATATTCGCACCAATTTTTCAAGTATTGTCAACAAACCTCAACCAACAAATAGACTGCTCAGAAATAACAACGTATGGCTGTTCTACAACGATTTAAGTAACTCTTATCTATGTATCATCCACAGACAAATGAAGATCAAAATGGAACAACTTATTTTGGTAATGTTGTTCTGTGTACCTTATGTTGATTGTGAAGAATAGACACCTCAAGCGTTCAATTATTTTCAACATTTACCTGCTCTACCGTTCAGTTTTGGAAAAAATCCTTGGCATATAACGTGAAGAAGCCTGCGTACTGAAAATGTTCTTTTAATAGATATCTCCATAGAATACAGTGTAATATTAATCGTCAGAACTGACGGTTCGAATGACTTTCTCCTTATTTTTTATCTATTTTTTTTATAATTAAACTGCTGAACTACTATTGTATGTTTTGAAAAAGTCGATTGAACTAAGAAGGGAACATATTTAACTGTCAGATACCGTTTGGCTCCATATTTTGACTACGAATAAGACTGAGTAAGACTAAGAAAATTCCAAAAGAGTTCCTGCCCATGGCCTGCTGGTCAAGAGTTATGGGTGTAGGTGTGGGTGGGTGTGAGTGTCGGTGTCACCATATATGCAAAGGAAAAAAAGAGAAGATCCACACCTACACCCACCCATCGTACCGGTACTTGATTTCAACTGAAATTTAAGAATTTTATAAGAGTTTTGAAAAACGCATGCACTACGAAAAAAGAAACAAATATACAGAAGAAACACGGTTAACCTGCCAGTTGACCGATCGAAATTATTGAGTGCGCTTTTCTATGAAAGCTTTCATTTAGTAAAATGATCGAGTCGTAAACTACATGCTTACTTGAGTCAATACACATGGAGAACGATTCATATCTGATTCTCGCTTGTGAATCAAACCGAAAAATTACGATGGCTAATCCAGTCTACCTTCGCTGGTGATCAAAATATAGACGAGTCATCAGTGTGATAAACACTGATGAAAACAGTGGTCAAAACCAGTTAGGTTGGTTTCAATTCTGACTCAGATGAAAGTGTTGAAACACTAATTCAACGATTTGTTCGTCATCCTGCTTCTCATTTCAGGTTATTAACAAAAGGTCACTTATTTATTTCTTGATTGATTTTTTTTCCATTGATGTCATATTTATTTAGTTTTTCTTCTTATATGTTTTGTATGAGATAAAAAAGAAAAAATGATAAAGAGAAAAACCTTTCGCAAACACAAAAATTGTCGAATCACAACTAATTCTAAAGAAGTAAAAAATTTACAAAGAAAATTTCACTTCAAAAACTGAAAAGATGAATCAATAATAATAAATGAAGATTAGATGAAATGAGACAATAAAATACAAAAACATTTATCCTAAAGAAAAAAACATTTCCAAGAATAAAAATCTTTTTGTTTTCGTCGTCGTTCCCAATGAGCTTCTGGAAATAAGTAAACAGTTATATTGAACTGTTGATATTGTTTTTGTATATGTAGTTGGACGAGAATCTTGTTAAGTTGTGATAAGCGTTTGCGAAAGTACCCCTTATCCTATTTCTTGTTTCCCTTGGTAGTAGCAGAAGCAGCCACTTTAGAAGCTTTGCCAGATGTTACTACCTTCTTTTCTATCTCCTTTACAACACCGACAGCTACAGTTTGTCGCATATCGCGTACGGCAAAGCGACCTAATGGTGGATAATCAGCAAATCTTTCAATACACATTGGTTTTGTTGGAATCATTTTAACCATCGCAGCTTCACCTGATTTGATAAATTTTGGAGCCTCTTCAATTACTTTACCTGATCGACGATCAACTTTTGAAATCAATTCAGCAAATTTGCATGCTATATGACTTGTATGACAGTCAAGTACAGGTGCATAACCTTCACCAATTTGACCGGGATGGTTAAGTACAATAACCTATGTAACCAGAAAAAAAACAACAATAGATCTTAGAGAATGATAGAAGAAGATATATGTACTTGAGCAACGAAGTTAGCAGTTTCTTGTGCTGGATCATTTTTTGAATCCGAGCAAACGAATCCACGTCGAAGATCTTTTACACTAACACCTCGAATATTGAAGCCAACATTATCACCAGGTACAGCTTCTACAAACAAAATAAAATTATTTAAATAATAAAAAAAGAATGATTATTTACCAGCAAGATTAACATGATGCATTTCGATCGATCTAACTTCTGCTGATACATTCGATGGAGCAAAATTGACCGTCATGTTAGATTTAAGTATACCAGTTTCAACTCGACCTACAGGCACCGTACCGATACCACCGATTTTATAGACATCTTGAAGTGGCAGACGAAGTGGTTTGTTGGTTGGACGTTGTGGAGGAACAATAGCATCGAGAGCTTCCAATAGAGTTTTGCCTGTAGAATTGCCTGTTTTATGTTCAACTGACCATCCTTTATACCAAGGCATATTTTCTGATGCTTCGATCATGTTATCACCATTCCATCCCGAAATAGGAACAAAAGCAACACTTTCCGGTTGATAACCAATCTTCTTAATATATGTCGATACTTCGCCTTTAATTTCATTGAATCGTGCTTCCGAAAATGGTGGATCGGTAGCATCCATTTTATTAACAACAACGATCATTTGTTTGACACCTAATGTATAGGCAAGTAAAGCATGTTCTCGTGTTTGACCATTTTTCGAGATACCAGCTTCGAATTCACCTGACGCCGCAGCAACGACTAAAACAGCACAATCAGCCTAAAATAAAATTCAAATATACCTATGTAGGATAGAAAAAAGTCGCGTACTTGTGATGTGCCTGTAATCATATTCTTGATAAAATCTCGGTGACCAGGTGCATCAATAATAGTAACATAATATGCGTTGGTTTCGAATTTCCAAAGTGAAATATCGATGGTGATACCACGTTCTCGAGAAGCTTTCAATTTATCCATAACCCAAGCATATTTAAATGAACCTTTGCCCATCTGTCAATCATTAAAAATATATCATTACACGAGTCTTATCAAACAAGAAAAAAATTATTCTATACCTGAGCAGCTTCTTTTTCGAATTGTTCAATTGTTCGTTTTTCGATACCACCACATTTGTAAATTAAATGACCAGCTGAAGTTGATTTACCAGAATCCACATGGCCAATGATTACAATATTGATATGTGTCTTTTCTTTACCCATGATGATAAATCCAAACTTTGATAATATTCAATAGAATAGAATTTTTTTTTATTTCGATCAATCTTATTTGAAAATGTAAGGAAAGAACGAAAATGTCTTGTGCAATATATACTAATGTGAAGTGTAATAGCATGCATCGTGCAATGGAATTATGAAAGATTATTCGAGATGATGATGAATTGTGAAATTCCACTTTAATCAAACAGCAAATTTAACAAGCATTGCATCAGTCAAAATTTTATTTTATTGTGTAATACGATAAAGTAAAACAAAAACTTATCTAGCTGTCTAGATATAATATGACGTAACTATCGTTAATAGTTGAGCAAGACATAAGTAGAAAAAAAAGTCAAATGTTATGACACATCTATTCTTCATTAAATAATAATTTAGAAGCTGATATACAGTTTATCGGTTTTCATCTTAGACTTAATCAGAACTTTATATATAACAGATGAGACATAATCAATGAGCCATTTTTATGATCCGGTTTTTATCGATCTTGGATCTATCCCTGGGCTTATTTCTTTTTTCTGCAATAGCACAGCAAGACTTCATGGGAATAGCTTTGCCAGTCATATATTCTTATAAAACGATTTCTATTCATTTTTTATATTTTTTAATCCTGATTCTAAAGTTCTATGAATTGTGCATCGTCTTCGTTAAAATAAAACAGGCGTATTGGAACTGAGGGAGAAACGGTGGACTTCAAGACTTGACAATCGAAGTCACAGTTGTTTTTCTCGCGATTGGAACAACTCCGTCGTCCAATAGTGACACATTTTTGCGAGCACTATTTGTCTTTTATGTGATTGTCGAAGACTTGACCAATGCCCACATCCATCATCGATCATGCAAATAGTAGAGATATACCTATGGATATGACCGCTTGACTGTGGCTATGGTTGTTCGTTAGCTTTCTCTTGATACACAGCTACCCTTCCCGTCTCTGATTATCCTTCGGTTAAGTTTTCTACAAAATGTTAGATGTTGTTATGGCAATTATGTAATTCCAACGATTGAATAATATATTATCGGAGGTCAATGAGATCATCTGATGAGTTATTTTCCAGTGTAACAAACTTGAGAATGAGGATGTGTATGTGGATATTGGTGAAGGACTAGGTGTAGAGAAATACAAGATCCATGCCAACATTCACACTCTGATGAAACAATGATCAATGGCGCTCTACTGTGCTATTCTTCACCGATCGAAGAAGGGATAGTTTTTCCGCTCTTTAGACAAACTCTTATACCAACATGTTCACGAATGAAGAAAATGACACTGACGTTGACCTGACGATTCGAAACATACTTTCACATGATTGAAAGTTCAAAAAGTACATGAACAGTACATCCTGGAGACATCGTCTGTAGATCACTGATGAAACAAGGTAGATCAGTGAATGGACATTCATTTCGAAAGTGATGTAGACTGATCTGGTAAGATAGAAATGTTGTTGGATGTTCCTAGTGATATTCTTGTTCACAGCAAAGTTAGAGAGATTAAATAAATTATATTATACGGTATAATCAATTGTTTTCAAGAGTTAATTTTCTTGAATACAGTTTTAAAGTGGAAACGATTTTCACTAAAAGGATAGTTTTGTTTCAAAATAGTAGCTTCTCTAATAGCATTCGTCGCTTTCGTACTGAAGATTTTTTCTGATAGAAAAAAATCAAATTGCATTTATTTTTCGATGTTCTACTATTTCATTTTGCTTCTTCAAAGTTCAAATCAGTTGGAGTGTTACTATATTGCAAATGTTTGTCGCATTGTATCGTGTGCATATGGATTACAAAGAGAAAAACATCATTTCATTTGCACGCGTCATCGTGTAAACAAAAACACGGGAAAGAATGGATTTTTCTTTCTCTCTTGATAGAAATCGCCGATAGAAAAAAGCAGCAAATGTTATTAGAGAATATAATATTTTGAAGTAGTACTTTAGCCATTTGATGAAGAATGATTTTTCCTATAAACGTACAATAATGCAAAAGCAAAGAGACAAAATATTAATCTATATATTGTCTTCGATATAGGGGTGGTCAAAACGAAATTATTTTTTCAAAAGAAAATCTTTTCTCCACTTTCGAATCATGTTTCACTTCTTTTTGTAACCCATTCATCAATGAAACAACAGAACAGAAAAACAACACAAATTGTTGTACCTCGTATAACTCTTCAACAGACAAACTTTAAAGCGAATATTTTTTGTATCAGGTGATACGACATTTTCTTCTCTTTTGAATGATGAATGATTTATATGCGTCACACATTTGTAAATGAAATGAGACGAGGAAAAAAAAAACATTCGTGCAATAAATTTATAATTTGTATATGACTCATCAAGAACATCTTGTTAGATAACAATCAATGTAATCTTTATGGACTTATGAAAAAAACTCTTGTAAAACGATGGTTACTTCGACTATTATGAATTCCTTAAAAGCATCTTATAAACCGACAGTTAATTGTAATTAACTGTCGTCTCCAAAAATATTTTTAACGAAGTCATATAAAAATGATAAATTTATTGTGCAAATGCTTCTCTTTTTTCTCGTCTCGCTTCACTAACTAATACTGTAACAATAATGAATCACATATTACTCACAAGAGAAAATAAAATCCTATCAACTGATAAAAAAAATCTTTTGCAGAACTTTTGCACAATCCTTTTATATAACAGTACGGATTAGTTCTTAAGACTGTTTCATTTTTCTGTTTCATCGTTTCGTTTATAAATAGATTATAAAAATATGTTACATATGATTCAGAAGAAGAGAAAAACTTTTTGTCTTCTGGAAAAAGAAATATTCTTTCATTAGATTTATATGGAACAGAAATACAGTTCGACATTCGTCATCATGTATTTCTTAATATACATGAATTCTAACGATGGATTCTGTACGGAATATTCTATCCAACAATTTTTTTTTTCGATGAATTCTAGTGACCGACTGCGTTTGTTATGACTAAGATAAAATAAGAGAAAGGAAAATATGTTGCCCGCGCTATGCTCTCGCTGATCTTTTCTTTCCTTCAAGAAAATTACGACGTAAAACATTTATCTTCATACTATCGCGAATGCAAGGCGTATACAACATTACGCAATTTTGTATAGAAAAGAAAAATAAGTCCGCTCTGGATGTATCTTACTCGCAAGATATTTTCTCTTTTTTTTCTTTTCTATTCTGACATTTTCGACGTACATCACTAGAAGGGTATACACAACATGATGTGCACGTCGTGTTTTATACGATAAAATCGCGGAGAGAAAAACAAAGTTGGTAATTCTATACGATAAATTTATACAGTATAAACTTATTGCACAGAGTTTGTTGTATAGAATCTTCTATAGCAAATGTACTAAATAGAATTAGCACTACAAATTCATAATGATATTATTTTGTTTTTCTATTTTACAATATTAAACTTCAATTTTTTCATATTAATTTTTTATTATCTTTTAATTTTGAAAAATTTCTCTTTATATTCTTATTTTTTCGTATATTTTAGATTTCTATCACAAAGAGTAGATTCTTTCTATTATATCTATTTACAGATTCACTTCATCTTCAATACTAAATAAAAAAATAAAACAATGCGTGAAATTGTTCATATGCAAGCTGGTCAATGTGGTAATCAGATTGGTTCCAAAGTTAGTTGATATATTTTGAATTGAATATATTCTTATAAAAATCTCGATCTATTTCTAGTTTTGGGAAGTGATCTCGGATGAACATGGTATTGACCCCACAGGCACGTATCATGGAGATTCAGACCTTCAACTTGAACGTATCAATGTCTATTATAATGAAGCAGCTGGTGAGTAGGAAATAAAAAACAAAATGTATTTATAGTCTTTCTCTCGTGTTTCAGGTGGCAAATATGTACCACGTGCTATTCTTGTTGATCTTGAACCAGGCACAATGGATTCAGTTCGCAGTGGTGCATTTGGTCAACTATTTCGTCCAGACAATTTTGTCTTTGGTAAATATCTTAAATATTTTTTTTGTCGAATTTTTTTCATGTTTCTTCTAATTATTTTAGGACAATCGGGTGCTGGTAACAATTGGGCCAAAGGTCATTATACGGAAGGTGCTGAATTGGTCGATTCAGTTTTGGATGTCGTACGAAAAGAAGCTGAAACATGCGATTGTCTTCAAGGTTTTCAATTAACACATTCGCTTGGTGGTGGTACTGGTTCGGGTATGGGTACATTACTTATTTCAAAAATTCGAGAGGAATATCCGGATCGTAAGTTAAATCTTAATAATGTTACCGAAATTTTCATCTTTCTCATTTTCTTTTAGGTATCATGATGACATTTAGTGTTGTACCATCACCAAAAGTATCTGATACTGTTGTTGAACCGTACAATGCAACATTATCCATACATCAACTTGTCGAAAATACAGATGAAACATATTGTATTGACAATGAAGCATTGTATGATATTTGCTTTCGTACACTCAAACTTACAACACCAACATATGGTGATCTTAATCATCTTGTTTCGGCTACAATGTCAGGCGTAACAACATGTTTTCGATTTCCTGGTAAAATTTACTCTAAATTTTAGACAAATATTTTATTTTCTATAATTTAAATAATTTTCTAGGTCAACTTAATGCTGATCTACGAAAACTAGCTGTTAATATGGTACCATTTCCACGTCTTCATTTTTTTATGCCAGGTTTTGCACCATTAACATCACGTGGTTCTCAACAATATCGTGCATTGACTGTAGCTGAACTTACACAACAAATGTTTGATTCAAAAAACATGATGGCTGCTTGTGATCCACGTCATGGACGATATTTAACAGTTGCTGCTATTTTTCGTGGTCGTATGTCAATGAAAGAAGTTGATGAACAAATGTTAAACGTACAAAATAAAAATTCATCTTATTTTGTTGAATGGATTCCAAATAATATCAAAACAGCTGTTTGTGATATTCCTCCACGTGGACTTAAAATGTCGGCAACATTTATTG